GGGAAGATAAGTATCCATTTTTCTCCATAACTTATTTCTAGGACCTGCATTAAGATTTCTTGCATTTTTTCATAGCTATAAGATTTTAGTTAGATTTGGATTTCTGAACAAGTGCTTACAATCAAATAAAATGTAGATATGACTGAAAGTATCATTAAATCACATAACCCTTAGTTTTCTCACCTGGAAAATGCTGTGAAAGACAATTTAAAACTCATTTGCTGCTTTAACCTCTTAAAAAAGGTAATTGGTAAATGGTTTTCTAGGTCTAGATTTTTTTATTGTGGTTTAAGCAAAAGTTTACTAGCAAAGTTTGTTTTGCATTGAATGTTCTTACACATTTTGTTTTATGATATGAATTATAATACAATGTAACATCATTCTTCTCACTCCCAGCGAATCTCCTTTCCATTGATCCTTGTATTCTACCCATTCCTGCCTTCTGGATATTACCCTTGGGCAAAGGCTGCTCTTTGGACCCTATGTGATTGGCTGTTGTCTAGTGAGGTGGCCCAGACTTTTTAAAAAAACTCAACTAATTCTGTAAAAAACAGGTATTCAGATTTTTTTTCCTTAATTCTTCTCAAGTATGTCTTCAGTCAAAATAAGGGTTGGAAATTACAAAATCATAAGATTTTATATTACAAACCATCAGTTTTACTAAAGCTATTCAGGAAACACGTGTGCTGTAGACATCCCAGTTGGTAATTTCTCTGTCTCTTTGGTAGTGATTATTGTTGTTACGTACTGTCCAATCAGAACCAACTCATAACTGACTCTCCCGCAGGCTGCCAGAGGCAGTAAAATACACAGGAAGAGATTGCCATCTTCTCTCCCATGGAGTAGCTGGTGGATTCAAACTATTTGCCTTTGAGTTGCAAACAAAATTCCCTACCACTAGGCCACTAGAGCTTACTTGTGATTAGTAGGTTATTAGTAGGGATATCTTTTAGAACGTTGATTCCTAGTTAAACCATCTGCGAGTAACTCACAATATAGACCCAAAGCAATGTCTTGAACTTAGAAGCCTTTTTTTAATTTAATTTTTTTAGAAGCCTTTTTTTAAAAAAAAAATAAAAATTTGCTGCTGTCAAGTCAATTTTGACTCGATTGCAGCCCTGGCGGACAGAATAGGCCTCATAGGAAATTTCTGTGTTTTGCTTTTTTCCCTTTAAGCAGCTGCTGAGTTTGAACGGATGATTTTTCAATTAGCCCTGCAAAACCAGGGCTTATTACATATGAAATTGTGCAGGTAAGAAGTGAGAGGGCAACCATGTAGAAAGAAGGTAAAGTGGAGGTTGAACACTTTGACCCCTCTATCCTAAATTAGCCATTTTTAAACACTAGGAAATTTTGTCAGAATCTCATCATCATGATTTTTGCTAAAACTGCTGCTCTCCTTTTCCCCATTCAAATCTAGTTTGTGTGTTTTAAAGGCACAGCTGTACCTGAACTTTAAGATGGCTCTACACATAGCCACTGAGTCAGTTCTGACTCATGGTGATGTTGGATCTGCAGAGCTGGACCCCAGTAAGATCAGATGCCAGCACTAATCACTCACAAGAGACGGTCCTGGATGCAAACAGCATGGGGTGTTTATTCCTTCCAGCGCGCTGAGGCACAACTCATAACCTACACAGAGGCAGAGGAGTTGAGCGCCAGGCTAGGGGTACACACAGCTTATAAAGGCAATAACTCGCGCAAACATAGGTTAACACACAGGGAGGGTTGCTGTTTTGGTGTATTTGAATACACACTGAGGTAGTCAGTTCTGATTGGTAATAATCTGGCTTGCGCGCGGCAAGCGGGGTTGGGGGGGGGCGGACAGTGGGGGAGTAAAGTTCAGAAAAACAACTCCTGGAATTCCCCTTCTTATTTGTGCTCCCAGATGTGGGTGAGCCTTTTTATGACCTTGTTTTTCTGAGCGGTTTATGGCCCTGTTTTTCTGAAAAAGAGGGCAAAAGTTAAGTTTTCTCATAATCCTGTGAGGTTTTATGGCTTCTACCTGAGAAGGGTTAAAAGTTAACTTTTCCATAGTCCTTCATTCCCCCCTTTTCTTTTGCGTACAGTTCTAATCCTAGAGCTGGGAGCAGTCTGTGATTTCATCATGATCTTGCAGATGAAGAGCCTGATACTGTTGTCTTAGCATCAAGACTTGTAGTGCACTTATTCTTTCTCTAATAAAGGTGACTAGTTGGTTTAGGATGCAAGGCCCAAAGGTTAACAACAAGAGAAGAATTACAAGAGGTCCCATTAAAGTTGACACAAGAGTAGTGAACCAGGGGGATTGGGAGTACCATCCTTCGAACCAGCTCATGCGTAACTCTCTTTCTTTCTGATGCTTGTCCAGCTTTTCTCTAAGCTTGGCCATTGAGTCTCGTACTTCCCTTGAGTGATCTATATAAAAACAACACTCTTCTTTAAGGGCCGCACATAGCCCACCTTGCTGTAAAAATAAGAGGCCTAATCCCCTACGGTTCTGAAGGACTACCTCAGACAGGGACAAGATGGACTCCTGGAGCTTGCTTATGGAACTTTTTATGGCCCTTATGTCAGTATCTATGGTATTTTGTAGGCTGCTGAAATACTTAGCCTGTAGGCCTAAGGTGGCTCCTCCGGTTCCTATACTGGCTGCTACCCCTAGACCTAATAGTGCTGCCAGGGTTAGGCTTACTGGTTCTCTCTTGGTTCGACTACGCCCTTCCCATTCATCTATGAATTCTTCTATTTTATGAAACTTTAAGCGTGGAAGAATGACAGATAGCATACAATAATCAGATGACATAGTGGCTAGATTAACACAAGGAGTTATGCCATGGGTTTTACAGGCCTACCAGCGCCCTGACTCGGGGATGAGATACCCCGAGGTTCCTAGGTCTGAGATAGTCTGGTCACACATACGGGAGAGGTCAGAGGGAACAGATCTTATACATAGGCCAGCTCCTACAACTGAGGATAATGTTAACTTATGAGTTGTACAATGCCATCTACCATTATCTGAACTTGTGGAATTAGTAAAGTTGCCCTGGATTGCTACACCTTCATAATAAGGAGGAGCGGTCTCATAGCACAACCAGCATTGTTGTGCCTCTAGGGGACTAGTTGCATTTAGAACCTTGTAGGCCTCCTGAATCATTGTTATGAGCCTGGCACTTTCACTCGAGGTATCAGTGAGAGGCTTTAGTGTGGTCTTAATGGCTGGCGATACATTAGGAGGAGTTCCTTCAGATGAGACAGGTACGATCTCGGGGGCCAAAACAGGATTTGGGCCTATCGCAGTAAGCTGGGGGGTTGTAATTAATAAAAGAATCTTTAAAAGGAGCCCATCATCGTACCTCTCTTTGTACAGCCTAATTCCCCAAGAAAATCCGTGGAGCCATCCGTGGCTGGCTTTCTTACCATGGTCAGTAAAGGAGACCTTCAAGGGGTGGCACCAGTTTTGGCAGTCAGAGTTGTACTGCGAAGGAGTGGGGTTTAGAGAATAATTAGCTGTGATAGTAATGTAGTCCCAAGAAGAGGTAGGTTTCCAATGAGTGTTACCGGTGGTTTCGCACTCCCACTTTTTGCAGAATAGTTCTGTGCGGGACCCACATTTACGGGACACTCTGCCACTGGGGCTGTGTCCGGGGCATACGTAGAAGGTGAGGGCTCTTAATTTACTGTGGTGTTCTGGAGTACCACAGCTTCTCCACGGGTCTAGTCCGGGGAGTTCACTGACTCCCGAGTGGTTTGGCACGTGGGTGTCGTTGGTCCAGTCCTCAATGTCCCATCCATGATAGCCACTGTACGTAGGCACTCCCATCGCCAGTTTACAGAGATCAGGGTATAGGGTTGGCAACCATGTCCATAATGTTGTCTTATTTGAGACTGACTACACTACTTTTCCAGTCTGGGAGAGCACCTGCCAAGTAAGATTGTAAGGAGCGTGAGGGTTTAGGGGGGTGGACCAGGAGAAGGGTAGGGCAACCTGAAGCAACAGGAAGAAAGCAATGATGTTGGTGCAGGGGATTTTTTTCTGTAGCTTAATCTTCAGAGGGTTTTCGGTGTAGCTCGCCTCCCACTCGCTTAGGCAGGGCTCAGCTGCTGGTTATACATGTGCCGCATGGATCCAGGTAGCAATGCCATCAACTTTTACAGCTGTCGGGGTGGTCAGGAGCATATAGTAAGGTCCTTTCCAGCATGGCTCTAGGTTCCCGCCTTGGTGTCTGCGTACGTAGGCAGGGTCCCCAACTAGGAACTGGTGAGGTACCGACAGATCTCCGGGTCGGTAGGCTTCTTGCAGGGGCCCCCAGACGTCTCTCTGCACTGTCTCTAGAGCTCTCAGCCGTTCAAGCAAGGGCTGGCTGGGGAGATTCTCAGGAGTATCCTGTAAATGGGCAGGGGAACAGGGGCCCCAAACATGATTTCATAAGGAGTTAAGCCAAAACGGTTGGGAGTATTTTGGACCCGAAAAAGGGTAGCAGGAAGAAGGACTAACCAATCTTGTATGTCAGTCTCAATGGATAATTTAGTCAAGGTCTCTTTTAGAGTTCTATTCATCCTCTCTACCTGCCCTGAGCTCTGGGGACGATATGCACAATGTAATTTCCAATTAGTCTCCAAGATTTTGGCCAATCCCTGACTTACCTGGGCAACAAATGCAGGCCCGTTATCAGACCCAATGACCTTAGGTATTCCAAACCTGGGAAATATTTCTTCTAATCTCTTCTTGGTGACGACTTGAGCCGTTTCCTTATTGGTAGGGAAAGCCTCAGTCCATCCTTAAAAAGTATCTATGAAAACTGGCAAGTACTTATTTCCATATTTGGTGGGTTTTACTTCGGTGAAGTCTACTTCCCAGTACGCTCCAGGTCAATCGCTTCTGAGCTGTTTTCCCAATTGTTTAGGGAACTTGGTGGCATTTACATGCTGGCAGGGCACACAACTCTGGACTACAGCCGTGGTCAGTTCTTTTAGGTCTAAGATGTAGTAGGGTGACTTCTGCACTAGGAGTTTAAGGTTTTTCTCTCCTAAGTGCGTCATTTGGTGTAACTGCTGTATATACTGAGTTGCTGCATCTTTAGGCAACACTGTTTTTCCCTCTTCTGTCTCCCAGGTAGTGGGAGAGGTTTTTACGAACCCCAATGAAGCCATGCGTGGTGCCTCCTCTGGGGTGTACCTGAGAACGGCTGGCTCTGTTTCCTTTGTGGGATGGACCTGTATGGTTAGAGTGCAAACTCCAAGGGCTGCCTTTTTCGCGGCTTCATCGGCTCTTTGATTTCCTTGGGCAACCAGGGAGGTCCCTCTCTGGTGCCCTGCACAATGTATGATTGCAGTCTCTGTAGGGAGGTGAATAGCGGCCAGCAGGTCTAGAATCTCAAGCTTATTTTTTATTTCCTTCCCTGCAGACGTCAACAGTCCACGTTGTTGATATATGGCTCTGTGAATATGGGCCGTGGTGAACGCGTAACGACTGTCAGTATAAAGATTGAGTCTCTTACCTTCTGCCATCCACAGTGCTTGAGTGAGGGCAATCAATTCGGCCCATTGGGCAGAAGTCCCTTCTAGGAGGCTACTGGCCCAAATAGTGGAGACATCATCTACTACTGCAGCTCCTGCCACCCACTTGCCTTCTATGATGTAGCTGCTGCCATCCATGTACCAGGTTAACAGGGGGTTCCCCTGTAGCGGTTGGTCCTTTAAGTCCCGCCGCGTTCCAGTTTCCTCTGCTAATATGTCCTGGCAGGTGTGCAGGACTTCAACTCCTAGTTCGGGCAGCAGGGTGGCAGGGTTTAGGACGGCAGGGGGGTCCGAACTCAACTCACTCTCAGTTGAGTAACAAGCTTTGGTAATGAGTCATTCGGGTATTTGATAACCATCGGTCTGGTGGTTGTTGGATTATGCTTTGTAGGGCATGGGGCGCGATCACAGTCAATTTTTGCCCCAAAGTCAGCTTATCCGTGTCCTTGACTAGTATGGCTACAGCTGCGATTGCTTTTAAACAAGAGGGCCATCCTCTAGCAACAGGGTCCAGTTTCTTCGATAGATAGGCCACAGGCCTCTTCCATGGTCCTGTGGGCAGAGTTAACACCCCCCTGGCTACCCCTTTTCTTTCATCTACGAAAAGGGTGAAAGGCTTGGTTACATCTGGCAATGCCAAGGCTGGGGCAGATAGTAAGGCTTTCTTGATTGCATCAAAGGCCTCCTGTTGTTCGGCACCCCACTCAAAGGGAGCTGTATTTTTAGTCAGGGGGTATAGAGGAGCGGCCAGGGTGGCATATCCAGGGATCCATAACCTGCAAAACCCTGCCGTCCTAAGGAATTCACGCACCTGACGAGCATTTGTGGGTACTGGTATTTGGGTCACAGTCTGTTTGCGTGCGTCTGTGAGCCATCTTTTCCCTTCTCTCAAGGTGTACTCCAGGTAAGTTACTTCTGGTTGACAGATCTGGGCCTTCTTTGCTGAGGCTCAATAGCCTAATCTGGCTAGTTCTGTTAGCAGGTCCCGGGTCGCCTCTGTACATTCAGATGCGGTTGCCCCTGCAATGAGGAGGTCATCAACATACTGGAGGAGAATTACCTGTGGGTGTGAGGCTCGAAAGGGGGCCAGATCCTAGTGTAGGGCTTCATCAAAGATGGTGGGGGAGTTCTTGAACCCTTGGGGGAGCCTGGCCCATGTCAGCTGTCCCGACGCCCCCGTACTCGGGTCTTTTCATTCAAAAGCAAATATAGGTTGGTTTTGAGGGTGCAGCCGCAGGCAGAAGAAAGCATCCTTGAGGTCTAAGACAGTGTACCACACATGCTCTGGTGATAGAGAGCTCAACAAGTTATAGGGGTTGGGTACTGTTGGATGCATGTCCTGAACCCATTTGTTTACTTCTCTCAAATCTTGGACGGGTCGGTAATCGCCAGTGCCCGGTTTCTTCACAGGCAACAGAGGTGTATTCTAGAGGGACTGACACTTAACCAGTATCCCCGAGTCTGAGAGGATCTGTATGTGAGGTCTTATCCCCTCTCTGGCTTCCCGACTCATAGGGTATTGTCTGACTGTCACAGGTGAGGCGGCAGCCTTTAACTCAATGACAACAGGAGGCTGTTGGCAGGCCAGCCCCATCCCTGCAGTCTCAGCCATGCTTCTGGGTATGACTCTAGCCAACTTTGTGGGTCTGGAAGTGTCGGGAGTTTTTCTTACAGCTGATGCTCATCTTCGAGTTTCAGAGTCAGAACACCTAGAGGGGTTAAGTCTTGGCCTGTCACCTGGGGCCCATTCGGGAAGAAGCTTATGTGGGCCCCTACTTTGGTCAAAAGGTCCCTTCCTAACAGGGGAGCTGGACATTCAGGTATTACCAGGAGGGTGTGGGTGACCTGCCCTGTTCTCAGGTTTACAATTCAGTTGGTGGTCCATTGGTACTGGTGTTGACTGGTAGCTCCTATTACCCATGATCTTTTAGATGACAAGGGGCCTGTGGTCTGGGTCAGAACTGAGTGCTGCGCTCCGGTGTCCACCAGGAACTCGACCGGTTTCCCCTCCACCTTAAGAGTTACCCTAGGCTCAGGGAGGGGGTCTGAGCCCTGACTCCCCTAGTCTTACCTGCTAGGGCCAGCACTTTCTCAGGAGCCACTCTTCTGGGCTTCTTGGGACATTCTCTTGCCCAATGCCCTTTTTCCTTGCAGTAGGCGCATTGGTCTTTATCTAACGGGGTGCGGTTGCTCAGGTACCCTGTCTTACCTAGCCCTTCCTTTCCAGGAACTCTTT